GGAGTTGGACAAGGCCTACTGGGGCAACAAGGACACACTCAAGGCTATCTATTAAAAGGATCTACTGGCACTCAAAAGCTATCACTATCCTTCTTGCAGGGGGAACTCAGGAAACTCTGTTGGCCAAGAGCCTCCAGGAGGATTTCCAGCTTTTGTGGCTCCCTTTTAACCATTTTTCCCATCACTGTAGGTGGGACTATCACCTACAGGGTGATAGTGCCCTACAGGGGGAACAGCCCACAAAGTTCACTTGCAGGGATGCCATTAACTGCAAGTCCCTTGTCAGGGGGGTCACTGCACACCTTGTCCTTTCTTTGCCCTTCCCCAACAAAGATGCTTTCCACAGTTCTGAGAGATCTGGCAGACCCAGAGCTCTCCTCAGGGAATGCTTCAGCTGCTTAAAGGCTGCCCTTGCACCATCTACCCAAGGCAGCAAACGCTTTCAGGCTGTTCTGAAAAGCTGGCATAACAGTCTTACCACACATCCAGAGGGAGCAATCCAGAGTCCACCCCGTCCTACCATTCCCAGGAAGGCAGTTCAGGGGCTGTCTGGGGCTCAGGGAGGAGTCAGAGGGGCTGCTTTTCTTCCTTCCCACTTTGCAGATTTTCTCCTTCAAAAGCAAAGGTTTCTTGGCTTTCCTTGCTCCAGGAGATGCAGCAAAGGCCATCTTTTAAATCCAATACTGCAAACTGCTCGAGGTTGTCATTCGTGGTGGTTCTCTCAGGTTCTGCACTAATCAGTCATCTTGGCCATTGGTTTCTTGGCAGGTTCTTGCATTCACGTCCTACAAGGAAAACAAGAGGAGCAAATTCAGCTGTTACTTCAACCAATCCAGTCTGGCATTCTGATTTTAAAGGATACTGGGTTTGCCTTACCAGGAGAGATCCCACATTAGGGGTTATACCTACAGCTTCTGCCCTCTTCCACTCTCCTGCAAGTCCACTGGCCCACACCACAGGAACAACTGCAGCTGCTACTTCAGTCGGGACCTTGCTGCTGATAGGAGTTATTCCCTGCACAACAAGAGCTGCTGCTTGGACATATTTAGTTTTAGCAATTACAGTTTCAATATCCCCAGTTTTCCATTTAATTTCTGCCTCAAAAGTTGCCAATCAACCACCTCCGAGCAGAGGTTTGGGCAAGTTTGGCCAATAGAGAAACTGAGGAATTCCCCAATGTTTTCCCAGTTTAACCCCTGTCACTC